TAGGGCAGGTAGCCCTTGAGAAACATTTGAGCTGTTGAGCGAGTGAGTTTCTCTGGTGTGGATAAATGGAGTCATAGATCTCCAGATTCTAATATATATGATATGGCATGGTGGCTGGGAAGACTTTGGAAGCCAGCTAATTCAATGGCTTCCTTTGATAGATGAGGGTATGGAGTCCCAGGAAGGTAAGACAAGGACATGGATTGACCAAAGTGCGACCGGAATCCCCTGGCTCCCAGTGTCTTTACTTCTACAGTAGACTGCTATGTGTATGGAAGGCTTGTTATTCAGCTGCTTTTCCCCAGGATGTTGGCATTGACATGACTGAGGGTCGTTATGCTGTTAGTGCCTGAGCAAAAACTCTGCTGTGTGTCCTAAACTTAGGTTAATATTCACTGAGCAGTTAGGACCTTTTAAAAATGTGGTCATTATGAGTAGAGTCAGGTGTAGGAACTTTGTCATCTGACTGGAATGGTGCTAATAACATTTAGTAATAAAGAAAGTAGTTGGTGTGTGCAGCCCAGAGGCAGTGCTGTTTAATTTCACCAAAATTTTATGCCGATGTATACCTGTGTGTAATCTCAGTTATATGGTAATACCGTCTTCTCAGTAGATAGTGATCTCCTTGTGAGTAGGGACTGGCTTTCAGTACGTATTGAGTGAGTAAATGAATAGACAAAACATATCAGCAGTGCTGGTAAAAAATTAGAGAATTGGGATACTTTATAATAATCCCATAGAATTTTTTCATCCTATTTTTAAAGCAGTTTTTAAAAAATAAAAAGCATTCTTGGATTAACAGGTTAACTTGTAGTATCTTGCGCAGAATAGGTGGCTATAGACTGTGTTGAATGTGTGGGTAATGTTACTTCTCTTTTTGCAGAGGGGTTGAAAATTTTCACATACAACTTCTAATACATAGAATAAGGTAGAACAGTACTTCTGTGATCCCTCTGGGAATGGCCTCAACAGAATTACAGCTTTAAAAAAAAAACCAAAGACAAAATAATGATAGACCATAAACTTCCTACATCTTATGAGAGGGCTGGACATGCTAGGTAGAAAAGAAAACCTTTAGGCTTAGCATCCGCCATTTACACTTCTGTAGGACCAACACTTGTGGGGGGTGGGTGACCCCAAGTGTGCCTGATCCTTGGGCTACTCTTTCCTCCTATATTTCCTCCTGTAATGAGATGACCTTCTTTGCTTCCCACTCCTTCTACTTGCTCCAAGTTTTAAAATTTCTTCCCTGTCAAAACAGGGAAGAATTTGATTTTAGCTATTAATGCTAAAGACAGATTGATTCTTTGTTTTGTTTTTGGTATGGGGATCGAACTCAGGACCTTGCACTTTCGAGGCAGGCGGTAGCACCACTGAGCTAAATCCCCAGCCCAAGACAGATTGATTGTTGATGCTTCATATGTTTCATTATAATTGTTGACTCATAATTTTTTAATAAATTTGTTACAGGAAATTTATACACAGAGAAACTCATTTGTTCATTCATTCATTCATTTGGAAATCAGGGTATCACGAGATAATAAAATAATATATCCAGGTTTTTCCCTCCCCAAATCAGACCAGATTACACTTCTCCACCAAGGCAAAGCGGGGGTCCTTGCTTGGCTGTGGCTGTGGAGGCCTTTTCCCTGGAATTGCTAAATGGAGGAGACATTGCCCACTCTTGTGAAGGTCAAGTTAAAGGAGCCCACTCTGCCCTCAGATTTCTTTATAGAATCACTAAGGGACTTTATCTCTGCTATTTCTTTTCCCTTTTCACTGTCCCTGGGTTGACGACGTTCCATTTATCCTCTCCTACATTGAGCCTATTTCATCGTCCTGCCTTTGTTGTAAGTTTCCCAAATACACATTTTATACTCTAACTAGCATATTTGACTTATTTACATCGATTATTAATTGACTTAAAAATTTTAATATTTCCCTCTAGCTAATAGTCTTTATTATAAATGTGTTTTATTTTTCCCTGTTTCTAGGGAAGATTCGTTTTTTGAGGGGGGGACGATTCTTACAAAGAAACACGTTATTGGAAGGTGTTTTCTTTATTTGTGGCATTTTTTTTTTTTGGTACCGGGGATCGAATTCGGGTCCTTGCGCTTGTGCAGCAGGCGGCGAAACCACTGATCTAAATCCCTGGCCCCTATTTGTGGCATTTTTTAATATCAAAGTTAGTGATAATGAAGTATAGTGTGGGGAACTGTGACTATTTTTTAATGACCTTGACATTATCAGAAATGTATTTAGTTAGGGAAAAAAATGACTATTATTATAAATATATAAACATTCTTATAAACATGATAAAGCAGGGATGTATCAAATGACCTCAGAAGATAGCTTTTTGACGTTATATTTTTTTGGGACAGTTCTGGCTTCTGAAGACTTGCTCTAAATTGCTCATGGTTGTGGAAAGTTTTTGACTGATTTTCCTAGTGTGACTTGAAGCCTATCCATCTTTTTGTGGACTATGAGGGCTGGCCCATCCAGCTTCAAGATATTCTGGGGTGGGAAGTTTCCTGAGTTACAACTGCTTAAGACTTTAGTGTCTTCATCACAGTTATTTTTGTTTGTTTGTTTGTTTGTTTGTTTTTTGGTACCAGGGATCGAACTCAGGACTTTGAGCTTTCGAGGCAGGCAGTAGAACCACTGAGCTAAATCCCGGCCCTATCACAGTTATTTTTGGAAGCAACCTGCTCTTATAGCAGTCTGTCTTTCCCAGGGACAGTTAAGGAGGGTGGCGAGTAGATCCTCTCCGATCTTTCTGTTGTCCCCGCTTTAACTCCCATACTGGCTTTTTGGAAATAAGCATGTTTTTGATCCTAAGAGGATAATGTTTCCCTAGGTCTAATTTCCCTATTGGGAAAAAGAATTGGTCCCTTGAAGGGAAAAAATACTATCTTCAAACATTTTATTTATACTTCTTTCTTGACATTTGGGAATTTCTTTAGTGATTTTAGTTATTTTTGTTCCTATCTTTTCATCTTTATCAGTATTGTCCATTGGCACATCACGTCATCTAATTTATATGTATATGACTTTTGAATACATTTTAAGTTTTGAAGACTTTGAGGAGAGGGTAATTAGTGTTTCCTAAGGGAGACTGGAAAGACTTTGTGGGGAAGGTCATATGTGAGCCGGATTGGGAGGAGTCTGGAGGACGGCAGAAGAGAAAAGGGGACCAGCGTGGACAGTGTGGACAGACTTGCTCCAGTGAAATGTTAAAAGCATACTATTTTCTTAAAATAAAATCTATAATGCTCCAAAAAAAGAATATAGAGAGAGAGCATTTGGAAATAAGGAGTATGTTTGTTGGAATAAATGTTCCATACAGAGCCTATTAATGCCGGCAGGTCCCACCCTCAACCCTGGAGAGCTAGTAATGTGACCTCACAAGATTGCAAACTATTGAGATTATTTTGTGATTTTTAGCTATAGTGCTCGTGACTGGATTGCATGGTGCTTGAGTGCAGAGTGTGTAGGTGACAACGGTGTGGGGGAGGGCACAGTGCAGTGCCAGCCTTACCTCACACAGCCAGCTGAATCAGAATCTGCACATATCAGACGTTACCTGTGCTCGTATGACTTGGAGAGTAAAATGCAGTGATTACCAATAATAATATTTCAGCCTACCTACATAAGCCTATGTAAATGTATTTCAACCTACTTATGTATCCCTATGAAGACAAGTGTTGATTGTTTTTAAGCAGATATGTACCTTTTCTTACTTAATTATTAAACTGGGGCTTAGTGTTTTTTCATTTTAATGTTATAATCAAAAGCATAAACAGGAAGTTTTATTACTTCTATACATTAATTATATGACATATTTTATATGTGGCCCAAGGCAACTCCTCTTTGCTCAGTGTGGCCCAGACAAGTGAAAAAGCTGAACACCCAGGTGTCAGGAGATCAGGCCTGCCTGGAAGCCAGGGGCACATTGTGTGAGGCTTTGATTCCTGGGCCAAGGATTTATCAAGGCAGCAAGGAGTGCTCAGGAGTTTTGAACAGTGGGAGGATAGGTGAGATGGGAGGTTTTATGAAGAGTGATCTCTGTGGAATGAGGATGACTGGAAAGGGAGACAGAATTTCAAGAGTGCAGGCTTAAAATGAAGAGGCTCTGGACTTCAGTTGCTAAGATGGGAACAGAAAGGGAAGAGATGTTAGAGTAGTAGCTTATTTGATATAACATGATTAAATTAATACTTGTTTTTTGCTCTGCTGTGTTTGAGTGACTGGGAGAAGCAAAATGTATTTTAGTCTAGAGGCTGTTTTGAAGGAAAGATGGGTTTATATAGCTCAAGTGCCGGGGGATGGGAAGGCTGTAGATGATAGGTCCTGGGAACATTTGAGGATTGGAAGATGGAGAAGATGGATGCAGGATTTCAAGTGGAAGAGACATTTCTTTTTTGTTGGGTTGCCAGTTCATTCATGATGATGGATAAAAGAGAAGATCTGTAGATTGAAGATCATATCCTGGAGGGCTAAGGGGGTGGAGAGAGGGAGGGGGGCCAATGTGTCTTATAATACAGACAGTTCAAGGAGGATGAAAACTGAAAAAAGATGAGTGGATTTAAGATACTTGAGAACTGAGAGCATTTGAATGGAATGATTGGAATTGAAAACCAGGGTACATGAGCTTTATGACAAGACAGGTAATGAAGAAATAAAAGCAGGGTGTAGAGGCCATGTACATGTTATATTCATGTTGGTTATTTCCTTGCCTGCTGTTCAGTTCTTTTACTTAAATGGCATGGCAAGGAGATAAAAAGAGATGAAATTCAAAACTGCCCAACTACATCCCTAAAAGACTGGTTAGAATAATTGAAGGACATGATTAGGGTGAAACCATTACTTACTTGCATTACATAATGATCTTTATTCCTGAAGCATCATTGAAATTGATCAAAAATTTAACAAAATTAAAATGAGCATGAATTTCACTGAAAATCGTACTAAATACTGTTTTTTTTACAAAAATATCTCAGTTTCTATGCAGATTTTGGACCTCTGAACTTGGCAATGGTGTACAGATACTGCTGTAAACTAAACAAGAAACTAAAAGTGAGTATTGTAATGGTGTTTTTATTTTGGTATTAAAACACTTGAACCAGGAAATTTGCACAGTAGGATTACTGCATACAAACCATTTTAGTCAGGTAATTTTCTTCTTTGGACGTTTATGTGAGTAGTGCACCTATAAGTTGAAATTGATCCTCCTAATTGTACCACAGAGGACGTGTTAACCTCTTTCATTTTTCAGGAGGAATTGCAGTATGAGCTGAATGAACTCATTGCAATAATGATCTAAGAAAGAAAGCATAAATCCTTTTAGGTTGTTGTTAATGAGTCTCTATTGAATTCCCTTCTAGGATAATTTTTCTGAATCCTTCAGATCTGCTTGTAGACATTGTTAACAAGTGATGAAGGGACTCATCATGGTTGGAGTCGAGTGAAACTGTTATGTCTGTTCAAGATTGAAATTTTTGTGTATTTTTTCAATGCCATCACTGTAGAGTTAATAGCCAAGTAAGATTGATGAACTAGTAGCAGCAGTTGAGCACAGACTTTACCTGAGATGACAGAGTTCTGTTCACACACTCAGAATCCACATATAATTTTGATTTAACATGAGATCTGGTTTCATTTTCTATACTTCCGTGTGTATTTTGGCATGTAGCTGTTTTCTTCTTAAATTCTAAACATATGAATAAAAGTGACGTTTCTGTTCCTAGTTTTGGTAAACTTACATAGAAAGCAATGCTTATCTCTTTCTTCCATGTATTAAATGAACATCTTAAGTATTTCATTTTGGAAGAGGCTACTACACAACATGCTCTTAACAATAAAATTATAATGCTGAGGTGTTTTATTCTTTCTGCTAGGTGAAATGTTGCTATTACATAGTACAGCATCTTATATGCATTAACTCAGTGATTGTCCTTTTTTGTTTTTTAAATTGAACTTATGTATGAAAGACAGCCTAGTAGAGAATTTCCTGTAGAATATGTTATATTTATGAATTTACAGATTTTTGCCATTCATCTCAAAGTTCTAAATGGCCATGTAATGATACCAAAGACAGGCCTGTTTAATAGTTAACTTACATAAAATCTATTGTACTAGATTCTTCTAGTAATTAATTTATAAAATATTGTCTGACTTGAAAATATATTTGCAACTTCTTTTAAAACATCTATTTTTCAGAGGAGGGGCTATCTGTATTTAGAAAATAAAATAAGTTGAGATTTTTATAACCATCAGAGAAGTAAGAAATATTCTTTTTATATAAAATGAACTTTCCGTGGCTTTACTAACAAGGAAAGGAGAATTAATAAATAATTGAAATTCATGTTTTGCTTCTAAAGACCTAGGAATTTCTTTGGGTTCTTGATTGGCCAGGTTAGTATAGAGTTGGTATGAACCAGGTATTATAATTAACAGCTTGGTACCTAAGTACTTTCTGGAGTTACTAAAGAGAAAGAACCCATTATTAGGAAAATAAAATCACTTTGATATGACTCAGTGTTATGCTTATGCAGTTGGACAAGAGGAGATGGATTGAATTAAGATTTTTTTCCCTAACATGCAGTATTCTATACTGAACCATTTGGGTATTTATATTTTTATTTTGATTTGCTTTCACTTACAAAGCTTTTAATGTTATGAAGGTTTATTAAAGTCCAGACAGATCCTTTGGTTCATTTCAGTAAACAGGTAATCAGCTGGATGCCTGGAATGACATTTTTAGCTTTAGTACAATTAGCGGACACTCCTTACTTTCTGAGGGATTGACTTTTCAGAACCCAAATGTTAATTAAGTCTTGGGTATCTCAGTAAACTATGCCAAATAGAATCTCTGTATTAAGAGAAAAAGATTTATTTTACCAATCGAGAGTTGAAATTGGTTTAGCCTTGTAGAATCACAGTTTTTCTCATTTATAAAATGGGGATTCTAGAGCCCTCACAGGATGGTGGTTAGGATTACATTAGAAAATGTATGTGAAAGAGCTTAGTAAATTAGATTAAGATTAAGGTCCTATACCCAAGAAAGTTACTAATATAACATTTGTGAATTCTGGCAGGAAATACAATAAAGACAGTTCTTACATGAAATTTATGAATACCCTCTTCTCAGCTTTAAAACTATCCTTTCCATATGGGAAAGCTGGCTGATATAACTTTAGGTGTTTAAATGACTATTTAGTCAAAACCAGAAAAGGAGGTCCAGGAGAGGGATGTGGCTTGTCCAGCGCTGGCAAGGTGAAATCAGGGCTCCACTTCTCTTGACTACATCGTTTGCATTCTTTCCCCTGCCTTTGTGGTAAGCATAGCCTTGGATTTATGGTCTTCCTCTGCTTGCTGTCCCCACCTTGTGTATAAGCTTTCCTGCCTCTTCCTCCCAGGACTGTTACCGCCCCTCTGGCTTCTTTGCTTCCAGGCACCCAGGTTCTGGGCTCTTCCGCTAGGAATACACCCTTGTTCCATGCCATTCATTCTGTCTCTCACTCAGTCCCTACCCTAAGTTTCTCCATCCTCTCAGTCTGTTGGTGCCCTGCAGATGTCCCCTGCCTGTGCCCTTGGTCAGTCACTTTGGTTAGGCACCTTGCCACCTTCCCAGCAGATGATTTCGTGTACTAATTTACTGGGCACTCCGGTACTCTTGCCACTCCCAGCCTTGCATTCAGCCCGTACCAATATACCAGGTGTTCTCCGTATTTATGTATGAGGCCTTATCAGAGTGGAAAGCTCCTTTCCTCTGGCTTGAATACTCCTTTAAGACCTTTTTTAGGCATCACCCTTGAGGAAGCACCTCCTTGCCCTTCTGAACTTGGCTAGAGGTCACCTCTCTTGTTTTCCAGTACAGCTCTGTGCAGACCTCTCTTGTTCATGAATTACAATTACCTATTTGAACCTATTTACCTATTTACCTTTCTTACTAGACTGTGAGTTCTGAGAGGATGAGGGCATCCCTTGGATCTTTGTGTCCCCCGTGCCTAGCACAGGGCCACCAACTACACAGAAACGCCTGTGGACCTTACCATAATTCCTTTGACTTGCAGGTCCCTTTTTATCCTTCAGCCTTCAGAAGTTTCAGAACAATAGCTTCCTCTCAGCAGGTTCGCTTCCTCACTGTGCACTGATTTCTTAGTCCTTTGCTATCCAACTTCTGTCTTCTCTACTCTACCAAGTCTGCTCTAGCCACATCTTAAACACAGCAGCTAGGGGTATTTGCTTGGTCCTCAAACTCCTTTACTACTTTGAAAAATTTGGCATTGTTTTAACCAGTAACTTCATCTTTGGATTTTTCTCTTGTGTGGCATCTTAATTTTCTTCAGCTATCTGTTATTTTCTAGTTTGGAAATTTTTTTTCCTTCCAATAAAGGTTTTATGATTTTCTCCCATATCCAGTGCCTTATGTAGATAGGCAATATTGTGCTGTGAATTCTGTGTCAAACCTAAATTTCTCATTTCATAAATGTCAAAAGGTATTTTTCAAGTTGAAGGTTTGAAATGGTGATTTTGTGTTATTGTAGTGTGTGTCCATGTGCCTTCTATTCCCAGTGGCCCGAGTTTTAATTATGTAGATTAGAATGGAAAATTATCCATCAAACATCTGCACAGATGAAAAATCCAAAACCAGAAAACACTGTCACCAACAAAAAATTTACTATTTATTTTAAACTGTATTTGAAAAGTTGCTAGTTCCAAGAGTTATGCAACCATAGGTTGCAGATTGCTATTTCTACGCAGTAGTTACTATGATGAACGAAGCAAACAAAAGAGGGAAGATTTATTAAAGTGAGAACAGTTTGCTAAACTGGGTGTTATTTAATGCAAAACATCATCAATGATTTCTTTTTAAAATTAATTTTATTGGTACATTTAAGGTATACAGTACAATGACACTCATCATTTGAAATTTGCACCTTTACATAATCCATCTTGGTTCTTATTTTTCCCCATTCCCCTGCCCTCCCTTCACCCTTCACCCCTCCCTATCTACAAAGACTTTGTTTCCATTTTTTCTTTTTCTCATATTAATTCCATTCCTTTCTTTCTTTTCCCCTACCCCTCCCACTTCCCCTTCCCCCTTGCACCTTTTCTTCCTATTTCACATTATCTATTAAACCTTTTAGTCCTTACTTACACTTTCAGTTTCTCACACTAGAGAAATTGTTCGGTATTTACACATGAAAAAATGCAGAAAAATCAATGATTTCTTGATGAGAGAAGGAATTATTAATCTGGTATTTCATAAACCCTGCAATTACATGTACAGTTTTGTGTGTATTAACATTTTCCTTCTGGGAGGATTGATCCATAGCTTTTTATCAAATTCTGAAAAGAATCATTGGCACAGACAATGCTAAAAACAGTGGACCAGAATCTTCAAAAGAGAAGGCTGTACTAGCAAAAGACAGAGTTGCAATAATTTAGTAAACAATACTTTCTTCAGATTTAATTAGTTAAAATGATATTCGGAATGTTTTGTAGACATAATACAGTTGAACTGGCTTTTCCTAAAATGGTTGATATAGTTTTAATTCTTCATTTCTTCTTCAGAGGAACATAAACCTCTGAAAAAGGGGGACAGTTTCTAGGACAGTATGTTTTCTTAAATACTTGCTATTATAAATCTACAGAGCAATTACAGTAATCTTGAGCACTATTTAAAAAGGGATTTAAAGAATATTCACAGAAATGTAATTTTAAATTTATAAAACATTCCCTGGAGTCCTTTCCAGGTAAAATGGAGAGAGGAGTGGGCATCATGCAACAAAGGATTGTATTGAAGCCCAGAAGTACTTGGCAGATGACAGGGATCTGGGAGTGTCTTTATTGCTGAATGAATCAGTGCAGTAATTCTATCCTGGAAACCAGGCACCTGCTACCATCTCCAGTGGCTGTACACCAAACTCTTTTGATATAATGATTAGACCACTGTCTCTGTATAACTACCGGAACATATTGAGCTTTCTTCATGCAGTTCTCTTCTGTTTCAGATTCATGCGGTTCAGGGAAAGAAAAGCAAGCTCCACTCTGGTGATAGTTAATGTAGT